GCATATGCTTAGCAAGTAGGAAAATGATCTGCAGATCTATCAAACCAATCGATCGGAACCACTTACCGTTTTCGCTCTTAGCTTTGAAAACTTGTTATTAGCGCTGAGTGCTGCTGTAGTTATCATTGGATTCCCTCGCGAGTTTATTGTGGATGCCTTCGCTGTTATGCTTCTGCTACTTGGTATAAATAATACAACAGCATATAACAACGTTGCGGCGGACGATTCGATAGGAGGATTCGACCCAATTTCGAAGTTGGACCCGCATTTCGAACCGAAGCTCGGCGCACTTAAAAGCTTTACTCCCCCATTTAGTTTTATATATCCATACGGAAGTTGTAGCGAATTTATGACCCGAAATAATTATTCAGCTGATTACGATTACGTTCGCTCGCAGTTTAATTGTGCTTTATCTCGTGAACCGAACTCTCGGTGTTGTTTGTTGGAGTCCACCCTTAGTTTTCCACCTCGCATCCATCACAACCTTCGTCAACTCTTACATGATTTTGCAGAAAATCTTAATTTATTCAGCAATTTTGCATACATTTTCAAACATATTTCTTTTCAAAAAATGCTACGATTTTATGAACCAATTGAAATTATTTTTTTTTAAGTAATTTTTAAAGAAAAATTTGAGAACAAAATCCAACTGCAAATGTTACTTCAGATTATTATTTTTTTTAATATCTTAGAAGCTTCATGACGTTACCAAAACATAAGAAGGTTAGCATACAAGATGCGGTGCAGAGAATGATGTGACTTGAATTGACGTTGATTGTATTTCCTCGAATGTTTCGAATACTTTGAAAATGCTTAGTAACAACTAGCACGGATTATATAAGTTACAGCTTTTCGAAGTCATATTTTATATTAATCAGCGGTTATTCAGGAAATCCGAGCAAATCTTGATTATGAGCGAACGTTAAACGCGAGTTCTAATTAACTCACCAGAGTCTAATCTGGAATATCTCCAGCTCCACCTAGCTGAGCATAAATCTGCACCCCTTGAACACAAACACGGCCCGACCGCACGGAATTCTATAATAACTCATATACACGTAATTCTATATCTTTGCCGGCTGCATAAAAACCGCAGCTCCGTACAAAACCCAAGTGTTGGACATTTAAATTTAGCTTTTTTTATCATAGAAATCACCACCATTTTTAGACCGTTCAATAGCTATAAAAGTAATTATTATTTTTTTGCTCTATTATTTCTCTATTAAAATATTCATACACTTTTCATTTTTACGAATTGAAATAGTAAATAAAATTTAAGTTTTGTAATCAATATTGATTATAATATTGTTAATTTTCATTTCTTAATTATTCTGTTATTCCAATGATGGTCTTATAAGTCTATAACTTTGATGTTTGCGCAAAAACGCTAAGTTCCTAGACCTAAAGTATTGACTTCCTAGACCTAAAGTATTGACCATTTAAATTTAGCTTTTATTCTCTGCCATCACCAACATTTTTAGACCGTTCAATAGCTATAAAAGTAATTATTATTTTTTTGCTCTATTATTTCTCTATTAAAATATACATACACTTTTCATTTTTACGAATTGAAATAGTAAATAAAATTTAAGTTTTGTAATCAATATTGATTAACAATTATGATGAATCTAATGATTTACTCATATTATTTAATTCCTAGACCTAAAGTATTGACCATTTAAATTTAGCTTTTATTCACTGCCATCACCATCATTTTTAGACCGTTCAATAGCCGTAAAAGTCGTTGTTGTTGTTGTTGCCGTTTCCTTCTTTTTCTCTTCTGTCCTATTACATAGACGTTAATACTCTTTCCATTCGAAGCGACGTAGGACAGAGAGAACATGTAACGACGAAAAATCGATCAGGACTTTATCTTTCACTTTAGCTTCGCGTGCCGGGACCAAAAGCCAACACCACACAGTTAATTTATTTTTCCACGTTGCGTAAAGCATTAGGACCGACCGATTTGCATGGATTTAAATTGATCTTAATACCTCGTTTAACGTTATTAAATATAAACGGAATTGCACTATAATCTTTGGATGAAAAAAAATAAAATACAATCGATGTGTGTTCTCTTTCCGTGATCCCTTGGTCAAGGAAAGAAATTAGAATCAATTATTCTCTTGCACCGTTCCATTATCCTCGTGTATTTTGCCTTTTTTTTTTCTTTGTTCTTTCCCTTTAATATAACAACTTCGTGATCGGTCAATGTCATCCACATCTTTCTATTCCGAAGCCAACACTTGTCTGCGATAAAAAAAAATTAACAATGTTATTTTTTTCCTGAACAAATTTGCTGCTGCATAAATCCGACTATTCACAGCATATTTAATTTATCAAGTAACTAAATTATGTTTCAATCAGTATGTGTATCAGAAATGTATGCTATTCTTTGAGTATTTTCGATCGAATTGGATGTTAAGTTTAATTAATTTGGATGTAATTAAAAGCTATCATCTGATCAAAAATATACGATGGAAGCAGAGGTTCGCAGATGTTGGACGTTACGAGGAAGTGACTGTTAGACGTCGGGTTTCGCGCAATTACAAAATAATATGAATTTATTGCCGAAAAACGGTTCTATTCTAACGCAAATTTACCGGACAATTCCGAAATTATTACGTGACTCACGATGGCCATTAGCGATGATTACCGCGCGCGCTGTGATAATCGTAAAACGAGGGACAGAATTACTTTTCCGCACTTCATTAAAATTTATAATTGGCTTTTTTTTTCCTCTCTCATATCGCACCTCTCTTTTGCACACGTTGTAACATACATGTTGACACTTCTCGGTGACTTTACTTTACGGAGTTGCAATTATCGGCTCTTCGGGCAATAACTTTAATTGAATTGATAACTGGGACACGCGTTTGCGTTTTGGATTAAATTCGTGCATTCGAATGCATCGGAATTGGTTTTATAATGAATCTGTTTGTGTTTGTGTGAGTATGTGATTAGTTCCATTTACACGTAATCGACATCATTGAGTCATTCGGGCCAATTCCAGGAAACGCTATAATGTAATAACGCTCTCTGTCTGCGCACAATTCGCATTGGAAATTTGATTTCATTGTGAAAGGAAGAGAAGTCGTATATGGATTTTGTAAAAGATTGTACAAGGAATTAAGAGTTCGCCTGCTTTCGTGATCTTTGATGCTGAACATCTTCGTATGGAGGGAAAAACCGTTCATTGATACTTTTATTAATCTCATTGCACGAGGAAGTGCAGCATCGATTTCATTTGAATTGAAAGCTTTTTCAAAATAAGTTATTTCCTTAATATGAAATATTTGATGTTCAGTATACATATTTTACTGTAAATTATTTCATTTTGCATAATAGCTCTATTAGTTGTGTCCAGTTATTGTAGCATTTGTTGTTGTTGTTGTTGCAAGACGGAGACTCTCCGTTAGATCGTGCACATTTTGTTTTCGTTCTGCGAATCTCGCGTAATGTTAATGAAAATAAAGTGGAATGAATTGAGCGGAATAGAAATTGAGCCTGAATTATTAATATTGGCAGCGGCGAAGAGTGAACCCATAAACGTTTGAGCTGACCTTAAAATGCCTACAATCTATAGACGGGTATAGGCACTTTTAATTGTGCGCGCAGCGGAAAAATGGGGAGAGGTTTGAATGAATATAAGTATAATCGGCGAACTTTCCAAGATTCCCATCAAAATGAGAACACTCTGTATATGGTTTGCAACCGCTGCGCGACTTTTTTTTCCCTCTTGCATGTGTGTATATATATAAACATATATATATGTACATAGGAGGCGCATGCGGTCATCTACGTGCCTAGCATTAGAGGACATTAACTCAGTACTACACACTATCTGTCTATACCGCAACAGTTACTCTAATAGAATACTCAATCAATGGTCTGAATATTCCTATCTGTATATTATTTTTTTTTGTAGTTTTCAATTTCGGATAATCGATCAGGTTTTAGGTTTGCTTATCTGAATATAAAGAATTTCTAGATGATAAATTTCTATTTAATTGTTCCGAAGAATCCTCTGTTCCGTACTGTAAATGGCGATACCGCAACGAGCAGAGAGCCCATGGGAAACATTCCCATAACTCGTTTCTTCTCCTTTCCTCCTTTTTGTTCGCCAATAATTATTACCACTTGTGCTACACTAATTACTCATGTGGATAATTTTTGCATAATTGCCTTCCGCACATTTCACACTCGAAATTAAATATGCAATGAAACCAAATATAAAGAAGAGTCGAAGTCGAGCGACGAATCCATTTCACGAGAGAATTGATCGATACGCATTCCAATTTGAACGGTAATTGAAACCCCGGCAAAGAGCGAAATCACTTTGTTTCCCTTCTCGTTGTCTTCCTCCCATTTTAATTCGTTTCAATCAACAAACCCCGTATATAGGTTCATCACAATGGAATTGAATCCGATGCGGGCAATGAGTTATTGCTGTTGTTGGTTTCTCGTCCTTCCGGCGATGTTGAAAATTAATACCCGCAGCCGTGTGATGGTAGTAGCGGCTTCTTGCTACTTACTGCATATCCATACAGAAAGGTAAAAACCTACAGGTTTACGATCGACAACAGCAATCGTGTTATATTCATTAACTAATTGCTGGAAAGGAAATTGGTCGAGGATAGG